GTCATCTTGTCAAGAATGTTGATGTTCTAGCTTGTGAGAAGCATGGCAAAATTTTTGAAGATGGTGAGTACTTGACATTCAGACATGAAATATTTGAATTTTGTGAAGCAAATTTACTTTCCATGTTTTGTTTGGTTTACTTAATGGCTTGAGTTATTTTCATTTTTTTTCATCTATGGAAAAAAGTAGCCATTTACCATCATATGCAAATGTAGACCATAGAGTGGTCATATGACCATAGATTGCTGATGAGCTAGGAATCCTACCTGTAGCCTGCAAGGAGGCTGTTGTTGGATGTGATGCAGGAGTGCCTCGCATGCTTCTTGTAAAGTCTTCCAAAGATGGTGAGGGATCTGGCACTAAAAGGAGGCCTAGGCATCCCCCTGACTCCCTTCATCTTCCAGGGAATTTGGATAGTTCATAAGATGCTAGTGCAGTAGTGCCAGTGGCAGTCTGTTTGCAAGCTAGGAAATTAGCTAAATTGCCACCAGAACTTATCCAAGTTTCAACAGCATGAAGCAACCTAGAGTATTTATGCTGTTCCGTGGATTGGTTTTACCAGTCCATTACATGGTTACTTGTCCGATTTCCCTGGTGGTTTATAAGTATCCTTTCATTTTCCTTGTTATAGAGAAGCAAAATGATAGTAAAGTGTCTCGTTAAAGAATGCGACACAGTGACTTCGTCAGAGCTCTTATCTACAAGTCTCAATCTGTATGAAATGTAAATATTGTTATTTCACTGACAGTGATTTTTACGTGTATGTTTAAGAAATTGATCTGTATGTTTATAGGGCAGTTTGGCTCTCTGGTTTGGTCAGCATCAGAGAAGTACCTGTTATATGTGGCGGAAAAGAAGCTGCCAAAAGCTGTTTCATATTTTGAGAAACAAAAAGGTAAGGTATACATGCAACTGTTTTGAGAAAAATGAACAGAAAAAAAGGGCAAAAGTGGATGGAAGACCCATAGCACCAGTCATGAACTTCATAATTTATTTATTTTTTCGTATGGGTAATGGCCTATTTGAAAGTTGCATGCTTGGTTGCCAAGCCTTTAAACAGGATTGAGGCTATGGTGACCTTGTTAATCAATCAATCAATCAATCAATCAATCAATCAATCAATCAAAGTTTATTGTCTAACGTGAGGCATGGTTGCCCAACTGCCCAAGCCAGAGGCTCATGTATAAAACGGTAGACTAGATGATTCAATTTAGTTATGATTCAAACGTTACTGCTTTTCAAATGTACCGTAAATTACTTTGTTATCATGCTAACTAGATACTGGTCTTTTTCACGACGAGGTTACCTTCAGCCTCACTTCAAATCGAAGGCTTTGCAACTAAGTACACAGTATTCTAACTTCATAATTTTATGCTGATGTATATTAATACAATAATTAATTCCTTTTTTTTTTCAGGTGATGCTGCAGCAGACAAGCCTCCTCCAGAAAAGGTGATACTTCTGTTCTATCATCTGTTAGATTTGGTTAACTTCAATTACTCATTAATCATGGGAAAAGCAAACTCACCTGAAGTCAAATTGGGAACCGTTTTGTCTCTACAGTTAATGAGACAATTTCCTGAAAGAAGTAAAAAATGATAACTGTCTTCTATTAGCAACAATTATTATTATTTCCTTTTCACGCCTTGACCCATTTAATAGATAATAAAAGCACAAAGGTAAAGCCTCTTTATTTCATCTCCAACATGACTGAATGTGCCCTACGTATTTAATTGGTCCATGAAAAAACTCCCTTGTGCTCATAAATTCTAAAGGAAGAGTCTACACTCAATTACTTAGTGAACTTTGATCAATTTTGATTTCATTTCAAGGGAAATAAATTTGAGTTCAAGGATGACTGGGGTGAACAGCTTGTTTCCAAGTGTTCCCCTGTGATTGTTGTCTACGACATGGAGAGTGATGAGATCAGAGTATTAGAAGGAGTGCCTGATAACTTGTCTGCAGGCCAAGTGAGTATGAGGGTGACAAAATGGAATTAAATCGGATTCTACAGATGAAAATTACAAGCAAATCGCGAACGTGATTGATTATAAACTCTATCATATGTCTGAGCAATGCATGATTCGTAGTGCATTGCACGCGCTATTGTAGCTAATTGAAAAAAAGAGGGAGATTTGTTCGCCTGGCTGCCACAATAATGCCTTTCACAATCGTGCTTCGTATTTCATACTAACTAAACGCCAGGAACTTTAATAGGAGAGTTCAAGAGTCATGAATCTGTAGTTGGACGGTGAGAATCCGATTTTCACTTTGTTAGGTCAACTATTGGCTTCATTCTTTCATAGAAAAAAAAAAGCAACCGTATATATTCGTTCTGAATACGTTTAATTGATATGTATTATTTCTTAAAAGTTGTCCTTGTTTTGACAAGTTGGTAACAGCTTTTCCATCGTAAAAATATTGTCTGAAGTTGTTCTCGTGATTAACAAATGTGCCTCCGGTTTGCGTCCGTCCGATTTTGATGTCAGTCTTTCGTATGATTCCAGACTTAACTGGATTCCACTCGGTCCAATTACCATTAAAAATCGTGAGACTGAGATGTGGTTCTTTTTTTTTTTTTTTCAGGTCCGCTGGGGTCCGAACGATGACAGCGTTGTGTTTGTGGGTTGGTTGCATGAGCCCTACAGACTTGGACTCATATATTGTCCTATTAGAAAGTAAGATTATTTAAAAAGTTAAATTTGTGGGTTTTCTGGGTGTACGCGAAGTGGCTCAACTGAGGGCGCGGCCGTCCGTCACATTCTCTTACAGCTGCGTTGTCAAGAAAAGCAGTGATCTCTTTATTTTCCCTTTTTATTTTTGTAAAAACGGAATAAATTCTCACGATGACGTCATCTTGTTGTCTACCTACCCATAGACTATAGGTAATGACCAATCACATTGCATTCAGAATCCAGTCTTGTAATAAATGATGTTCCCTCATTTGTCTTCAGAAATGCCTTGTACTCACTATCGCTTGATGGAAAAAGTCTTGGTGAGTTTTGCTAATAAATTACAACGTAACGTGATTAATGTCTAACCAACATAACAATACTCTACTGTAAATAAATCTCAAGTACGGTTACCAGTCAATTCATATCCTCGGTCGTTTCGTACCCAGTCGATTCGGAGCTAAATAGTAGACAGCGCGAGGGGACGAGCGAGGTTTGGGAAGGGTCGCGTAATAAATGTGACTGGACCCAAACCTCCCCCGTTTTTAAACTCCTTCGCTACTATCGCGCGTCAGTTTACTAACTGAACACGTTGAGCAAGCTAAAATATTTCTAATGTGTATAACCTAATTATTCATGTTTGATTTTACTGCAGAACAATTGACTGACCCCAAGTACGCCGTCCACTCACCCCGCTTTAATCACACTAAAGATAAGTTGGTAAGATCAAAAGATATTCGACAATTTCAAGCTCTTTAGTAAGAATAATTAAATTCAGTACGAACCATGTTTTGGTATGTTGCAATAATTCATGAAGGATGGAAAGTAAAATTGCAATGACTGATTACTAGTGCCAGACCCCGGCGACCTCTTTCCGACTCGTCTCAGACCTTCCCGCAGACAGAGAAACGCGCACACTGCAGCGCTGATAACAAGGGCCTGCGCAGGGCCTGCGCAGGGCCTGTGCACAGCCCAGCAAATCTTTTCCTTTCAAGTACAGCAGCGACCCCAGTTTTGGTCTAGTTCTTAGCATTACGTGATAGACAGCGAAATGAGCTGGTTCCACTTCATCTGACTTTCAATCTGTCCTTTGAACCTTTTACACATGTTTGATTAGAAAGGAAATTTGTTAATTTGAAAATATTTTTGCAGATTTACATAGCTTTGGATGTTGGTGGAGCACATTTAAAATGTGGAAGATTAATGCAGGTGAGTATGAGGGTGAAGATATTGTCTTCATTTATTGACTGATATCGCAACTTTTACCTCACCCACCCCACCCACCCTTCTTACATCTTTTATTGTTGATGAAAATGAAAGCATTTTGTTTTGTTTTGTTTTGTGCTAGTTTGTCTTCGTCGAAATTTAGTTCCTGATAATTTTCCAGGCAAATAGTGAAAGTCTCACCAAATACACCTTTCCTATTTTTAGGTTTTTTTTTTCGATGGTGAAAATAAATTGAACAAGTTTTGCATTTTGTCTTTTAGTATGACTGGATCGCAAAGACTACTTCAACTATTGTTGATGTTGTGGACATTCCAGAAAGTAAGAGTGGTAGTTTGCTTTGCAAATTTGTTTCATCCTGAGCGGAAAATTCTAGAAGTGCTAAGGGCTTGGAAAAGTACGAGGCCTTCAGTAATGCGAACCGGCGGGAAGTTAGCATGGAGTCAGACACTGATCGTTATTAGTGCCAGACTCCCGGCAGACCTTTCCACGCGGCGTCTCAAATCATCCCGCTGGTGGAGAAAATCGCGTCCTACATGCTCATAATGAGGGCTTTCTTGCAAGCTAGGATATTTGAGTGTCGCAAATGAGTTGTTTTTACCTTGCCAGTAGTGGCTGAACCATGAACTGTGTTCTTGTCTTTGTAGAGGGCGGATTTCCAGGGATATACAATTTGTATTTAACCCTCGCCGATCGATGCTGGACGCCAGATGGGAACAGTGTCATTTTGTCTACCGTATGGAGAACTTCTCAGGTTAGCCCACAAACTATTACCGCACCTCTTCACTACTGAAATAATTTTCCTGGGAAGGTTTGAGTTACTGAAAAATGTTGGATTGTAAAAACCTCCAACGTGATTGTTTATAAACGTCTGATGCGTAAAAGTAATAATATGATTTCGAACACAGTTTGCAAAATATGGGAGACACGGTAACCTTATGATT